AGCTGCTGGGCTGCGATGAGTAGGCGCGTGAGGAGGAAGGACGGGGCTGCTCTTCCCCGCCGCCCGGCCTGCGCCCTGCCCGCCCCTGCCCGCTCCTGCTCCGACCTCACACCCCCTCTCCATGTCCCCACAGTCGGGAGGCAGCCGAGAGGGCTCCCCTGCCCCGCGTTGGTGCTGGGGCTGCAGCACTGCACTTTACGGGGCCCTTGCAGGTGGGATGTGGGGACGGCTCCTGCCCTTTTGCCGTGCCAGCCAGGGCTGAGACCCTCCCCTGCAACTGGGACTCGGCTGGGGGATCCTCTCCTGCAATCAGGGCTTGGCTGTATGCTCCCAGCTAAAGCTGGGGACAAATTTTCTCCCCCTTCTTGCTTCTGCTTCCAGCAGAGAGTCTGCAGCCAGTGGCAGTCCCTTGCCTGCACCTTCTCGGGGCTCAGCAGTTTTCAGGGGCTTAGGGCAGGCACCCTGGGCTTGCAGCCTCCGTTGTCCCTCCTGCTCCCTGCACGTCTGCAAGCTGGGGCTCTGAAAATCCTCTGAAAAAACTCAGCTGTTGTACCAGGCCCATTTTGCCAGGCCCTGGATATCCTTGCCTGTGGTGTCAGCACTGCATAGTGTGAGGGGAGTGATGAAATGGCTCCTGTCAAGAGGCACTGGGTCCCCATTGCTGGTGGCTCTACCCGCTGGATGCTCCAGCAGGCGCCATGGCTGGCATTTTGGCAGGCATTCCCCATTCCCCTTCCTGGGGTGCCAGCTCCAGTGTCCTCCCAAGTCTCAGCATTGCTGCCATCCCCAGCTCACTGCGGTTTGGGGTGTCTAGAGGTCCATTGTCCCCAGAGCTTAGTGGTGACCAGGGGGACTGAGATCTGGTAGTGGGGATGGTTTTGTAGCCACAAGGATATGGAAAAAAATGGGAAAGGTGGTAGTTAAACCACCCAAATGCAGCAGGTAGAGAGCTGTGCCGTGACCCTTTTTGTAACCTGATTTTTTTTTCCCTTTTTGTGGGGTGGAGAGGAGCCTCTTGCAATGCTCTCAGGATTAGCAGTAGGAGATGAGTGAGACCCGGCACCAGCAGGTGGGAGCGCAGGCGGGCAGTCCTGGGCTGGCAGCGATGCTTCCCCTGCCTGCTGGGATGTGAATTGGCCGTGGGGCCAAGGGAGCCTGGGTGGGATGGTGGCGGCAGCCCCGCTCCGGGGTGTCTCTGACAGTATTAAAACCAGCTGAAACTTTAGACCTGTTGGCTTGTCTGCTCTGTGCCTCCCTGAGAGCCATCTCCCAAAGCCTGGCAGGTCAGGTGATCCGCCAGGATCCCCTCTGAGCCCCCTGGCTCCTCCATCCTGGGGGGCTGCCAGCTGCTGTACTGACCCCACACCTCTCCTGCTTTCACAGACCCTCCTAGCTCCCTTCCCAGTCTGAAAAACTGTATCAGAACTTTGTGCACATCTTCCCTGCTGCCTCCGCCCTGTCTGCAGCTGCCGGCGCCTGTGCTCGCAGCTGGCCAGGCACAGTGGGGAGGGACTTGGGGAGGGGAAGCCTCTATCATCACCCCACGCCCTTTGTCTCCTCCTTTGGCTTTGATCCTCTAGCAAATACCCCAGCTTGGAGCTAGATCTGCTCTTACACCCCAGCGTGATCCCAGTGCTGGAGGGAGCTGTGAGTTTTGCCAGGGCTGCCCACAGGGATGTTCCCAGCAGAGCCCCCCTGGGCAGGGCTGGAGCAGGATCCCCCTGCATTGAGGATGGGGTCCCTTGTAGGGAAGGAACACTGGAGTGAACAGAGCAGAGGAGATTTGCTCCTCCCCAGTCTTCTGCCACACTGGGCAGGGACCCCTGAGGGTGGTACGAATGTCCAAGGACCACCTGCTTCCCACCACAGCTCTCTGTCCCCACAGCTCTGGACAACGTTCATGCACATTCCTGCTGCCAGCAGTGCCCTGCTCATCCTGGTATCCCCTCCTTGGGCCCTGCCCGTGGGAGGTGGGCTCTTGCCTAACTCCAGGGGTGCCAGCTTCAGGCACCAGAGGGTTGAGGGGCTGCTTGCAGAGCTTGGGCTGAATTCACTGTGGCTGTGGCTGCTTGGTGACAAATAGCAGCCACAGCTAGAGCCAGGGACAGGGGGGACAGTCTGCCCGGTTCACCTCCAGACACGCCACCCTTATCACCGGGAAGCTGGTGCAGAGATAAGAGCAGTTCGTGTCGAGTCCAGCCAAGACAGCCCTGAGCCAGAGACACGGCAGAGGCTCCGTGAGGAGGGTGACGGGAGCAGATGCTGTGTCTCAGAGCAGGGGATGCATCCTCAGCCCCTGGCTGCTGCTTCCCCCTGCCCACTGCTACCCCCCAAGTGAGCCCCTCTGGCGGATGCTGAGCCCTTTCTCAACCTTGCGGCATTTCCTTCCTCCTCTGGAGCCCCAGGATGGGGGCGTTTGTGAGAGCCAGGGTGCCTTCCCTGCCATGCACAGCCCCTCGTGGTTTGTCCCTATCCCTTGGATGCTCTTCCTGGACGCAATTGGGTTGCTGGAGCAGCAGGAAGGCTGGGATGGCCGACACTGTGGCACCCTGCTGCCTGCTGACTCGGCTGCCTGTGCTGCCAGCTGCTGTGAGCTGGTTCCTCAGGAAGCAGCCATCAGGGAGAGCATCCTCTCGCCTCTCACCGCCACCCGGAAAGCCCAGCACAGATCATAACCTCCTCCATCCTACCAGGAATGTGAGTGTTCCTCCCCAGTTTTGGCCTTGGCAACAGGTTCCTGCCGGAATCATCCAGTGCCAGTGGCATTTCATGGACAAATCTCTCTGGTGGGGCCACAGCAGACCTGTCAGCTGCTGGCTTTGAGACAGGGAGGACAGGGATGACATTTTTATGGCTCCCATTCAGTCAAAATTTCAGCCAGCCCTAAACACGCCCTAAACATGTGCTCCTGGGTCAGAACTATCCTGACCCTATGCAGCTTTGCTTATTCTGAAACCTGTGGTCCCACCCAGGATCTCCCTCAGGGAGCAGAAAACAAATATGGGATCATCCCAGAAGTGCCACAAATAGAGTGAGAGGTGGTAAGGAGTGAAGGAGATTCCTTCTTCCTCTGGGTCTGCCAGTGGCCAGATCCTTCCCCATGCTGCCTGTTGACAAGGAGAAAGGAGAGGCACCATTGGCAACATCCAAACAAAAGTCGTGGCCAAAGGTGAGCCAGGAGCTGTTGTTGAAAAGAGATGCACAAAAGCATTCCTGTCCCCTTCCCTGCTGCCGCTCCCCTCCTCGGACCGGGCAGAGGAGGGCTGCTGCAGGCGCTGTAGTGCAAGCAGCTCGGGCAGCACAGGACACTGTAGGGCTGGTTCCTCGGCTCTGGAACAATGGGACGGCCATGCCAGGGAGCACTGTGCCCTGACAGGGCTGTCCGTCTGTCTGCTCAGGTAGGGGGTAGAGGGAACCATCCCAGTCGCTGGATTACCGGTACACGGGCAACTTGGGCAAGCAACTCGAGGGGGGCACTGGTCACCGGGATGCAGCTGGGATGTCATCCCACCATCTTCTCCGGCCAAGGGGCGGGGCTGGGGGGGGACAGGGACTCTCGGCCAGGATGCAGGGCAGCACAGAGGCCGCATGCCGGGAGATGTAATTGCCCCTCCATTGTGGGCTGCGGGACAGGCTGCTCCGGGCAGGCGAGCGGGCGGCGTGCCCGGCCGTCACACTCCCATGTTCCTGGGCAGCCCGGCTCCACCGCGTCCCTCCTCGGGGCGGGCTGGCAGGCCCAGTGGGTGCGCAGGGAAAAGGAGAACAAGGAAGAGCAGTGCCTCCAGACCGCGGGTCCCACGGCCATCCCCGGTCGGGGCTTCCCCCGGGGAACGCGGGCTGCCGTGCCGGCGCTGGCGGCAGATAACGCCGTTTCCTTGCCGGCTGCTCCCTATCAGTGCGGCGGCGTCGGGCAGACAAGATCGCACCCCGAGCGCTCCACGCTGGGGGGCTGTCAGAAAGGGGTCCTGGCCCCCTTCACCCCGCAGCCAGCCTCGGGGCGGTTTATTTTTACACGAGTTGTTTTCTTTCCGGCTTGAAGCCATCCTGCGCGGCGGCAAGAGCCGGACCGGGGCCCCCACGCCTCATTTCCTTGCCATAAAACAACAAAGTGTGGGGGGTGATGCAGCGCACCGGGCTGGGACAGCAGGTCGATGGGTCAGGGCACATGCGGCTTTGTGGTTCCTTCATGTGTTCGGCCCCACTGTCCACCCCTTGACCGGCATCCCCCGGCTGTGCCGCCGCCGCCGCGCTGCCCTTCCTGAGGACTCGATCCGGGGCTCTTGGAGCCGGGTCTGCATACCTGTGTGCCGGTGGAAGCTGGCATGGAGGGCATCATCCAAGTTTAGGGATGATGCCCCCTCATATGGGTGCAACTGGGCACCCCAGAGCTTTCGCCCCGGGTTCTGTGCCTCTGCTTTGCCCTCACAGCCCCAAGCAGACCTTGAAGAGGCTGGACCCCACAGCTCAGCAGCCTCTTCTAAATCCCAGAGCAGGCAGGTGCTGCCTTGCACTTCCTGGGCACAAACCACCCCCTGACACAGCCCACCTGTCCCAAGCTGCTTGTACCCGTGGTGCTCCTGCCACATGTGTGCGGGACACCACCTTTGCTTGGGAACTGCGACCAATCCTCTCGGTTTTATGTGGGACAAGGGATGGCTTTTTTTTCCTGGCACTGTGACTTCGCCAGGGCTTTGCACGGGGGATCATAAGATCGCACCAGCCCCATGGGGGCACCTTGCTCCCCATTGCTGTCCCCTCTAAGCTGGGGGCAATGTGGGCAGCTGGCACATCACAGATGAGATGTGTTAACAGTGTGTGGGCAGCATGCGGGCAGTGTGTGGGCAGCGTGTGGGTGCACGGCCAGGCCATCAGCCAGGCAGGGCGGGCAGGCAGGGGGCCGGGGGCACCCACCCCAGCTCCGGGTTGCAAGCAGGGGGTTGGGAAACGTGTGTTTCCCTTTAAGAGGCAGGCCCTGGAGCTGCTTCCTCTCAGCCCTGCAAGAGCCCTAAACACAGTGCATCTGCCTGCAGCCTGCCTGCACGCCTGCCTGCAGCCTGCCCGCAACCAGCGTGAGTAGGGCTTTGCCCCAGCGCAGGGAGTGGGGAGGGCTGGCACTCCGGGGTGGTGGGCACCCTGCTTGCCATGGAGGACAGGGAGGGATGGCATCACCATGGAGGGAGCCGGGCATCACCGCAGAAGGTGCCAGACATCGCCGCGGTGGGTGCTGCAGCACGATGCTCACAGGCATTACAGCTGAGAATGCCGGGCCCCCAGCACGTCACTGGAACGCTGGGCTCCGGGGGGTGTCACCAGGCATTGGGGTACAGGGGGAGCAAGGCTGGTGCCCTGCACACCGAGGTGTGGAGCTGCAGTGCCTCGAGCCCACCCTGGGGCGCGTGGGCAGCACGTGGCGTTGTGCCTGTGGCTCCGGTGTCTGCAGCACTGCTCACCTCTGTGCCGGCTCTGGGGCTGCGCTGGTGCTCGGGCGGGTGCAGCCCGTGCCCTCGGGCGCTGGTTCCGCAGATTCCAGTGGGTGGCAAGCATGGGCTGCACCCCACGGTGAGCAGTGGCTCTGCCCGCTGAGGAGACTCCGGCAGCGAGCAACCTGTGGTGAGAACAGTCGGTTGCACACCCTGATCCCCGGAGACCACCACCGTACCCCGTATCGGACCCTGCAGGGGGTGAGCACCCGCTCTCACATAGCCGCCTGGCCCGGGGCACATTCGCAGGCACTCGTAAGCCTCGTCTACGCAGGGCACAGATGTCAGACCCCTCCCGGTGTTGGAGGGGGTCTGCCGGAGGCTTGCCGAGTGCCGGGCCCCCTCTGCCGGCTCTGGGAATCCTCACAAGTAGCCAGTCCTGGGAGCACCTTGGGTGAGCCCCATGCAGGGCACCCGTGGGTGCCCAGGCACCCAGAGCTCAGGGCAGTACAAGTTTCTGGCGCTGTGGGGTAGCCGGGCTGCCCCCCACCCGTGGGACATGGTTTGGGAGTGAAATGTGTTGCATGGGGTCAGTGCCAGCCATGCCTGTGGTGCAGAGCTCTGGGTCGGAGTCGGGGGTCCTTGACCAGGGTGGTGGGTGCCTCTGGGCTTTGTCTGGAGCTGGGGCAGCAGAGGCAGCCTGAGCCCTCTCCCCACCTCCTCAGCCGGGTTGCATGCTCGGCTGCCTCTGTAAACCGAGCTTGCTGCTTACAGTGGGGCTCCACCACTTCTTTCCCCCTTCACCCCTACGTGATGTTTTCCCAGTGCTCCCTGTTCAAAGGTCTCCCTGGGATCCCGTTTCTGTAGCTGCCCCATCCCCAGTTTGGTCTCAGCACTCCCCTCCGGGCTGGACGCTCCACAGGCCCCAAAGGGCAGCAGCAGCAAATGTGTGTGTGGTGTGACCCAAGCAGGAAGATGAGGAGGGAGGGGATTGGCAGCCCCGGTTGTGGGGCAGGTCTGGGGGCACAGCTCCTGCTGCCTGCACCCTCCCCTGCAGGCAGGCGAGCCGCTCTGCTGGCTCTCTCCTTGCATCCCTGGTATGGAGTCTGCTCAGCACCACTGCCAGGCAGTGCTGGCTATTTTGGGGGGTGTTACAGCAGTCCTTTCCCCCTTCTCAGCCAGGGCTCAGGGTTTGGCCTTGCTTCCCAGCCATGCTGCTGCTCCTGCTACTCCTGGAGGCCACCCTGCTGCAGCTGGCCAGCGGCTCCCACCACCCCTTCTACAACGGCTTCTACTACAACCACATGATGAACGACATGGGCAACGGGCAGGACAAAGGTATATTGGGGATAGGGGGAGTTGGCAGGTTGTCTCAGGGGACTGAAGTCCCCCCCTACCTCTGGGTCGGGCTGGGACCCACCTCTTGGGGGGTTGTGGGGTCCAGAGGAGCAGTCAGGAATGCTCCATGGGTGCTCAGGGCAAGTTCATGGTAGTGGTGGTGGCTGGAGGGAAGATTTGGGGACACTGCCCAGCCCTGGATCCTGACCTGCCCATCAAGCCTTCCTTATCTGTCCCCAGATTACTTCAATGGAGCCAGACTGGTGGTGGAAACCTCCAAAGACCCTGTCTACAGCTACAGTGGTGCCAACGTTACCTTGCCCTGCCACTTCCGCTACGAGCCTGACCAGGGAGATAAGCGCAAAATCCGCATCAAGTGGTCCAAGATACGGGACGACTACACCAAGGAGCAGGACGTGGTGGTTGCCATTGGCAAGACCAACGTGGCCTTTGGGGACTTCAAGGGCCGTGCTCACATCCACCGGGGCAGCCGGCATGAGGCCTCGCTGGTCATCAGTGATGTGCACCTGAAGGATGATGGCAAATACCGCTGCGAGGTCATCGACGGGCTGGAGGATGAGAGCGACGTGGTGGATCTCCGGCTGCAAGGTGGGGCCATGCTGGGGACCTTGTGACCCTCTGTGCCAAGCCAATGAGCCCGACCTTCTGTGGCACCCCCTCCTTCATGGAGAGGGAGGCCAAATGTGTGCAGAAAGTGGCTGGGATACCTGGTGGGATGGGGTGGTGGCTCGGGGCTGTCTGACTGCGGGGTCTCAGCAGTGAGTGAGCCCAAAGCAGTCTGCGCAGCTGGGACTCTGAGGGTGATGCTGTGGAGTCAGAGTTGGGAGTGACCCCATGGCCACAGCATTTCCTGCCTTTATCCACCCATCTTCCCGCTGTGCTGCATCATGTCCAGCTGTCCCCTCCCCTCCCAGCTCTGGATATCTCAATGCCTCTTGCGATGAATGTTGGTGACTGGTCCAGCCCCTCTTGCTCACTTGCCATGAGGGACCTGACTCAGCCCTGACTCTGCTTCCAAGCTCAGAGCTGTGAAAATGTCCCTCTTGCTTGCCCCTGCCCATTCCCTTGGCCCTGTCTCCCAGTGTCTTGTCCCCACCGGTCCCTGTGACTGTGTCCATGATAGTGGTGCACATGGTTCTGTGGTCCATCCATCCCTGTGACAGTGGTCCATCCATCTATCCCCATGTTGGTGGTCCATGTGTCCCTGGGATCGTGGCCCATATGTCTCCATGATGCTGGTCCTTGTATCCCTGTTCCTGTAGCCTGTGCATCCTCATGACAATGATCTCTCCATCCCCGCAGAGGTGGTCCATGGCTCCCTGGGACCAATGTCTGTGTGTGTCCAGAGCCGTGGTCCATACGACCCGGTGGTGGTGGTCCCTGCAACCCCATTATCATAGTCTGTGCATCCCTGTATGTGCAGGTGCCGTCCCCATGAGGGGGTCCGTGTGTCCCCAGGACCAAGCCCCTGTGTTCCTGTGCCACCAGATGTCGCTGGCAACTCACCGCTAGCGCCTGCAAGCCCGGAGCAGCCCCATCCCCGCATTCCTGAGCCTTGGGCTCTGCCACACTGGGGTGGTCCCTGTCTCTGAATTTGGGGGTCGGGGACCCCTGCGTCTCCTGCTGGGGCTGAGCTCGGGGCGGGTGGGCTGCCCACAGAGCCAGCTGAGCGTCCCATCTGCCTCCAGGCATCGTGTTCCCCTACCAGCCTCCCCGAGGGCAGTACAGGCTCAACTTCCACGAAGCCGAGCAAGTGTGCCAGGACCAAGGTGCCATCCTTGCCAACTTCAACCAGCTCTTCCAGGCCTGGAGTGAGGGGCTGGACTGGTGCAACGCGGGCTGGCTGGCCGATGGCACCGTGCAGTACCCCATCCGCCTGCCCCGCAAGCCCTGCGGGGGCGTGCACCTCGCCCCGGGCATCCGCAGCTACGGCCCGCGCCACCGGCACCTCCACCGCTTCGATGCCTTCTGCTTCTCCTCCGCGCTCAGAGGTGGGTGCTGAGCCACGGGTGGGGGCTGGGATCCCGGGGAAAGTGGTGTGCATCCCTCCCCCTCAGGGCACAGGGATCGGCCTGGATGGGGATGCACCAGGCAGGGATGCTCCAGATGGGGATGTTCCAGATGACTCTCAGCACTGATGCTCCCTTCTCATGCTGCCCTCTCCCTCCTAGGAGAGATTTTCTACCTGGACCGCCTCGCTGGGATGACGCTGGAGGAGGCCAAGCAGAGCTGCCAGGATGCAGGGGCCGAGATTGCCCGGGTGGGGCATCTCTACTCTGCCTGGAAGTTCCTGGGGCTGGACCGCTGCAGTGCTGGCTGGCTGGCAGACGGCAGCGTCCGCTACCCCATTGTCAAGCCCCGGCCCAACTGCGGCCCCTCAGAGCCCGGTGTCCGCAGCTTCGGCTTTCCCAGCAAGGGCAGGTTTGGGGTCTTCTGCTACAAGGAGAGATAAGGAGCCAGGAGAGATCCTTCTTGGATGAAGGATGTTTCCAGCCTGACAGTGCCTGGTGTTGGGCATTTCCCAGGGCTGTTTTAGGGGTGACTGGGGGGAGGTGGGATGGGGGGAGGCTTCTTTTTGTTTTGTTTAGTTTCGTTCCTTTATATTTTCCACATCTTGCTCAGCAGCTGGCACATGCAGCTGCTTGGGGCAGCTGCCAGCTGGGCAGCGTGGGACAGTGCCTGTCATGGGATGTGTGCAAGGACGATCCCCACGGGCTACAGCTGCCACTCCACTTGGCCCTGCCACTCCATGGGTGGTGGCCCCTTCCTGCGGTGGCAGGTTGTCACTGACACCTGCCTGCCCTTCCAGGCTGGTCCTACCCCTGAGTTCATGAGATGGGAGTGAGGCAAAGCTGGATTTGGCCAGAGTAGAGAGCAGGCGTCTCTGTTGCACCTGGCCCCTCTTCCAGCCCCATCCCTGACCCGCTGAAGGATGTTATTGTGCCTGTCCCTGCGGGAGCGCCAGTGCCTTATCTCCATGTGCCTGTTGCCTGGACTGCACTTGAATTCTGGTGCCTTCTTCTTTGATCAGTTGTTTATGAAAAGATGTATTTTCCTGGACGTCTTCTAATAAACTGGAGAAAGCCCTGAAGTGACGTGGCTGTCCGTCTCTCTCCCAGTACAAGAGAGGAGTCTGACATGGAGAGAGGATTTGGGAATCCCTGGCTAGTTGCCTAGGACTGTCTCATCCTTGGCTGAGCATTGTCTTATTGCTGCTGGCTCCGCCCTGTGCCCACCCAAGCTCAGGCAAAGGCTTTGTGTTCCCTCAGTAGTGAGTGCTAATTAACCCCCTGGGTGTCAGAACTGAAAGCTGGAAGGTGAAGCAGTTCCTGCTGGCCATTGATTTTTAGATGGGTTTTAGGCATGCGAGTTAACTCCCTCCCGAGGTGGGAGCTGAACAGGGAGGGTGATGTCCTACTGCAAGGTCCCTCTTCAGCTGGGGCTTGGGACACCCCTCCCACCTCTGTCGTCCCCAGGGATGCACCCTTGGGTGCTGGCTGAGGCTGAGCCATTCCCATGTAGCCTGGAGCACCCGGTTTGGGGTCTGCTTCCTTCCTTGCTGCCTTGCCATGGGAGACCCCCCCTCCTCCCAGCCCAGAGAGACACACCCCTTCCTTAAAAAAACAACACTGACAAAGCGCCTATTCCGATTTCACTCTCTTTATTATTTATCATTCTTTCAAAATAGTATATGTTCAAAAATATAAATAGGTGCAGGGAACGCTGGTGCCCCGCACGGTCCCCTGGAAAGAGCACGTTGTCCTGGACGGGCGCTGCGCTGCAGAGGGGGCGCTGGGGAAGCAGAGAGGGGCCACAGCCCCCAGCACCCGGGTCTCGGGTCTCGGCATCCCCTCGCCTCCCTCCTCCCACAGCTCCTTCCACCACAGCCCCTCGGCCCTCCCCACCCCCCCTGACGCGCTGCAGCAGTAAAAGGATTCTGGAAAAAAAAAATAAAACCCCAAAAGGTGCTGTTCACCCTGGAGATTAAATAACAGAAATAATTACATTGTTCGTGGATAAAATCAGGAAAAAATAATCATCTTTATTATTTAACTTAACCCCCTGCCCTCTGCAGACCCACCCCCCTCCCTGTCCCCAAAGGCACGAAGATAATTGGAACCGGACGGTTAGTAAAAATGCTGAGATCTAATTTGTTTTGCTTTGGTGCTTGGAAAAACATTAATTTTTTTTTATATATATATACACAAAGGTGGGTTTGTCTTTAATATAATTTTTTTTCCTTATATGACAAAAAAGCAACAAGAAGAAGAAGAAATCGACTCTGTTAATATAACTGTTCCGTTAAAAATCTCTCTCTCGCGCGTTTCCCCTCTGTCTCTCGCCCCGCTCTAATGGGTGGGTCTGTGTACGGCGCTGCCGCTGGGTCTCGACCGGCTCCTGGGGCTCCTCTTGTATAGCCTGCGCTGGTAGCTGGAGGCTGTGGGAGAGAAGAAAAGGCACCTTGTTGGCAGGAGCCGGGACAGAGGCGCTGCTTGTCCCGCGCTGGCCTCCCCGGCCCCTGGCTCCCTGGAAAAACACGGGCAGCCGCAGGCAGCGCTGCCCGGCGGGTCGCTGTGTGTGCCCCGGCGCCAGCCTGCCCACACACGGACAATCGGCCCTTCTGTCGCCCTGCACCTGGGCTTTGCTTCTCCCAGGGGAGAAGGTGCTCGGTGCCGGGCGGGAGCCTGGGCAGGAGCATCATCTCCGCGGATGGCTGTGCCATCCCTTCCCTGCGCCCGGCCGGGAGGGCAGCTCTGCTGGTGGAGTGGGCATGGGTACCACTTCCCTGTCCCTCCCCTTGCCCTATCAGTCTCTCCCCAGTCCATAGTCCCAGTATCCATTAGCAGTGGGATGTGCTCAGGGCACAGGAGGGGAAACAGCCCCATCTGGCTGGCAGGGAGGGACAAGGTTTCTGCCTGATCTCTGCTGCCAGTCTCCCTGGAAGCTGGCACCGCTCTGGTGTGATAATTGCAGGAGGGCTTTAGTGGAAGCAGCAAAAGCTGGTTGGGAACAGAAAAGGTCTCTTGATCGCTGGCAGTCCATGCAGGGAGCAGCCTGCAGCTCTCCAGATGCACAGCAGAGCCAAGGGAATCAGCCTCTTGGACTGCACCAGGCAGCCGCCCTTGGATAGGTCCTCCATCCCTCCTCCTTTCATCTTCTCCCTGGGGCAGAGGTTTGTCCCTTAAGCCTGTATCGACTTTCCCTGGCTGTGGGACCATTGCTTAATCTGCCTTATCTGGAATTGCCCAGCTGGCCCAGAACCTGGCAAGGAGGCGACTGGACAGATGTGATTCGTCTGAGGCCAATAAAATTATTGGGAAGCTGTAGGCAAGCAGGGATGGGACAGGGGTGTAGGCAGGCGTGGGACTGGGCTGGAACACCAGAGGGAAAAGGCTGGCTGCCATCAGCTGGAGGCCTGACAGGAGGAGAGTCAGGAGCCCAGCCCTGTCCCTTGGCTTATCTCTGCCTCAGGACTTCTGTCTGCTCCCAGGGCAGGGGGATACAGGGGAAGGGTTTGGGAGACCACAGCTCCCCCCTCCTATTCTCTATGTTGATGCTGGTGGTGCCAAAACTTGCCCTTTCAGAAGCCATTTATTTTTCTTTCTTTAACTAGCCTGGGCCATTGGTAATCAACTTGTTGCCCTTTCCTGACTCTGGAGCTGCCCCTTCTCTGCCTTGGTGGAGGAGTTTCTAGGGCGGGAATTGCCCAGACTGTCCCTCCAGCCAGCTGATGTGGTTCACATCTGCCCAGAAGATGCCAGCTTCCTTAACCCCATCATGGGGAAGCTTTCAAGGAGTCAAGGGAACCGTGATGCCCCCTTCTGCCTGGCTTGGAGCTACCCTGCACTTTAAGGAGATGCCCCTCTCATTCCCAGCTCCTTCTCCCAGCTACAGGGACGCATCAGGTCCCTCCCTAATCTGAAGGCAAAGGGACTGAAACGTACGGTTTAGGCAGGATATCCGCGGCTCCTCCCACTGCCCGTTGGGCTGGCACCGGATGGTGGGCACGTGGCGCTGGATGTAGCCTTGGTTGCACTGGTACCGCACCAGGGAGTTTATTTCATAGCGTTCCTTCTTCCGACCGAAGGTCCTGGCGTTCTCCACGGCAGGGGGGTCCCCGCAGGCCACTGCAGGAGATGGGCAGAGACATGGGGAATGAGAAGAGTCCTGCCTGGCTGAGCAGGACCCGGGCAGCTCCTGCCTGCTCGCTGCAGGCTGGGCACACACAGCTTTGACACTCCTCCCACGGATGAAATCTTAACTCCCTTTGAGATTGTCCACAAAATTTATGGGCAGGGGGGTATGGGAATTATGTGATGGGCCGTGAAATTAAGCAGGGTTCTGCCTCAGTGCTTCATTCCTGCCTCCTGGAAAGGCATCGAGAGCTGAGCTTCACAACAGATATCTGTGTCTGTGGGAGGACATGGAACTGGTGTTGTGGGAGTGATGATGCAGCCAGGGTATGACTCTACCTGGGGATGTTGAATTCCTTGATGGCTCATCTCATTTATTTTCAAATCCTTGTGAAACTTTCTCCTAGAGCCTTGGCCAACTTCTGTTTCTAATTCCTTCCACCCCTTTGACCACCCTTTGACAAAACCCATTTCATGTGCACTGGGGACTCTGCTCCAGTGCTGCAGCTGCTGCAGGGTGCTGACCTGTTCCTTTCTTGCAGGTGAAAGGGAGGTGATAGTTGCAGGGAACATCGTTCCATTCTCCTTTCTCATGCCAGATCATCACAACACAGTCCTCCCCCGCCGAAAAGAAGTTGTCGGGTTGGTTGGGCCGCCAGTTCTCATATTGCTGCCAAGAGAGGAAAGCCCTTCACCTAAGGCTGAGCCCTTCCCTCTCCCACTCCCTCCTTCATCCTTGCTGCTTGGCCCATGTCCCTCTCCAGCAGTGACCATGGAATGCTTGCACTGCTCCTGTAGTGGTTATTTCTGCCGTGATGGTGTCAGGAGCCAACCAGCTTTACCACTGGCTTGGAAAAAATGTGAGCCCTGCAAAGTTTAGGGCTGCCCCCACTCAATGCCCAACCCAAGCACTCATCATGTAACTCATGGGGCTCTTCCCTCCCAAGGGGAACCTCTTCTCTCCATGGAAAGCTGGTGCCTGCTCATGCTGTGGGCTGTAGGCTCACCAGGGAGTGCCCGTCGGACCAGCGGAAGTCGTTCTCCACAGCTCTGTCACTGAGGCCGATCCACTGGTAGTCCTGTGCATGACCTGGAAGAGCAGAAGGGGAGAGAAGAGTGGGTCATGATTGCCCTACACCTTGTTGAAAGCATTTCTTTGCCATCTCAGCTGTCTCTGCCCTGGAGGCTTATTTTCCCCATATCATACTTGTCCATCTCCCTCCCCACTCAATGTGCCATGAGCATGGATGGACCCATGCAAGGATGAAGCTTTGTTAGGATATATATGAGCACCAGTGGGGCAAACTATGGTTTTGACACTATTTTGGATAAACCTGCCCATAGACTCAGAGTCTGATGGCTGGACCCCTGCCCAGCCTCAGGCTGCCCTCATCACTCACTGTTCACAAATTCTTGTTCCTCTGGGGTGATGATACTGCTCAGGTGGGCTTGATGTTGTCGGCATCTGGTCTCTGCATCCATCCAAGTCTCCCTCTCTTCAAAGTGCCTGTAGCAGTGGCCCTGGAACTTGGTCCAGCCCTCCTCACAGTTTTCCAAGTCTGAAACACACAGAGGAGGGATGAAAATGAGTTGCTGAGTGGGTCTGGAAGCCTTCCAACTCACCTCTTAGCAGCTCATGCTCGCATGGCATGGGATAACACACGGTCACTTTCACTACAAAGCAAACCCTGGCACTGTTGCCTGTAGGATATCCCAGGGAAAATTGTCAGAAGGCATCAAAGACACGCAGAGAGGGGAGCCTGTGTTGAAGACTCTGTGTCTGCAGGAAAATTGACACTGCTACTAGAAAACCTGAATGACACTGACTTATTCCTGAGCAATTGAATCCCTGTGTCATGTTCCTAAACTTTGTTTTTGAGGAACTGACCAAACAAGAGCCCTTCTCTTCCTAATTTTTCTGGCCTGCAGAGTTTTCTTGCTTTGGAACAATCTCCAAAATCCAAACTCAGATGTCCAGAATCAATGCATATATGTTGAAAATGAAAGAGGGGGTTGCCAGGTTTGGGTGTCTCCATTACTTGGTGTGATTCCAGAGCTTTGGAAGAGAAGCAAACCTACCAAGATGGGTGAACAGAGGTGGAGACAGGAACTTACCATGGTTTAGGGAGAGAATGAAATCTCAGTGAAAAAGCTTGGACGCTGCTAAGGAAGTACAAATA